GAAAACCAATAATTAACATGGCATATTTTGATGTACTTATTTTTTTTTTTTTCGACTTTTTTACTGTTATTATTTTACTTATTTTTTCAAGGTCATTTTGATTTGAATTTAATTAGACAATATTCAAGTTAGGCAAATATATACTAAGTATTTATGTCTGATCAAATGGTTATCCTTATATTGGGTTAAACACCATTATGAAGTAAATATTTACATATTAGAGTAAATTGATCTTTTGTGAATTCTTTTAATTCTTTTTTTTTTTTTTTGCAAAAATAAATTGACAATCACATGCTGCAAGTGGATTTTCTTAATATATACTGTGTGTATATGTGTATATATATATATCGGATATTGGAAGGTTATGCCATATAAACGCCCAGGACGCACAGCTTGATATTGATGGTTTGCATGGCAAGTTGTTTTAGAATTATGATAGTGTAAAATTGTATACTTTATTTGTTTGGTCTAAAATGCTGTAGAATTGTTTAGTAGGTAGGTAAAATATCTTAGATATTCTTTAGGGAATATTCTAAAGATCCATTCTAAAAGCTCTACATGTGGTGTACGTCCCTTTTATGGCCTTTTATTGTAACGCGCTCTGCCTATAAATAGGGATGTAAATCAATTGTCCGATATCCAGCCACAAAGTTTAAACGTTTATTTACGTATATTTTCTTGAATGATAAGTATATTTTGATAATAAATACAAACAAGTATGAGTGAATTAAGTAATGTCACTTCCAATACAAAAATAAAATAATATAACATAGTTTGGCTTTGAATATCAACTTCAGAATTTTGTGCTGCTTTGCTGCTTTGTTAATAATTTTATACTCATTCAACCCATTTTATCTACTGAAATAATAATAAATGTGATAGTCAAGTCAATAAATTGCCAATTTTTATACTGTGATAGTCAAGTCAATAAATTGCCAATTTTTATACTGTGATGTGATGTCATAAATAAATACGCAATAAGAATATCATTATTTTTATTTTTTATTTTTTCTAAATTTATTTTTTATTAGGTAGGTAATTTACCATATCTTCTTCTAATTGAACTTTTTCTATTCCATTTACCTTCTAAAGAAAAAAATTGTTGGCTGTGGTTTGGTAACCCAGGGAGGATTTGAAAAGTTTCACATCATAACCACCAAAACACTCTTTAGATGATGAGATGCCCAAATGCTCGTCATCTACATACATCTAAAACCCTAGTTCACAAATGGGCAGAGTGTCCTCTTCATCCTAAAACCACCCTCAACTTCCAGTGCTCAGTTAGACTTCAAAACCCTTCAATAATTTATTTGAATTTCACTCAGCATCAGAATGAGATCTCGTTTCCTTCCTTGAGCGTTCGCCATATTGCAAAAATTGGGTTCAAAGGCTTCCGCTCGGTCCAATAACGGTGCCCATTCGACTGAAGAGGATTTTGTTACCAGGGTTTCGAAAGAAAACCCTAGCCCAGGTGGAACCTAGTATTTGGAAAAAGAGGACGTGAAGACAAGTTCTGATTTTTGGGGTTTTTGAAATTCTGAAGAGATTGGAGTCTAAGAAGAAGAAGAAGAAGCAGAGCGATAAGGTTCGACACGAGAATGGGGTGAAGTCTGATGTTGTGTATTTGATGATATTTTGGGGGAGTACATAGGGAAGCTTTATGTACCCGAGCAAATTTTTGGCGCCAATTTGTGGAAGAGGAAGAATTCGATAGGGGTTTCGAGGCATTGCTGAAATGAGCTTCGAGGATTTTCGAAAAACCTTGAGGAATGATGAGATAAAGCTTTTGACGATGAAGGAGGAAACAGGCGTGCCTTGCAGTTACAGATTCAAGGATTATATTGTGGACTTGAAAGAAATTTCCAGTGACAAGAACTTACAAAGAAAAAAGTGGTGAATATACACTTCTTATTTCGTTATAAAGAATTTATTCGTTAAATTTGACCATTAAGCTGTGGATTATGTTTTCGTTAACTACTGGAAAGCAATGAGTTTGGATTTGTATTTTTCAAGAATTATGCAATCAGTCTGTTTTTTAGAGAGTATAAATTTGAATTTGTTGTTATTCTGATTGGACTTGCTGGTAGCATATTACTCTTTTATCACCTGAACAAAGGGTGTGTGGTTTATTGATTATTTTTTCATGATATTGTTGACAATTTCGGAATGGATTTAAATGAATCATCCATTTGTGTTTTTGAATCAGATACTTTAATTCAAGTTCAGTCTTATATTTATGGAAACTGAATAAGTAGTTGACTTGTGCTGCTTGACCTTTGGATCACTGAACTCACAATCTTCTGAAATGTAGCTTCTTTATATCTATAATATTGGCAGGAATAGGTTTTCGGTGGGAAAACAAAAAACATGTTTTTTTTTTTTTCCCCTAGTTGATAAAAGACAGATTCTAAGAGCCATGTGTAGGCGTGTAGCCAGTTGTTTTACAATCTCTATTTGATGGTTTGTTGAACATGTGACTATAGCTTGCAATGTTTTAGTTATTCAATCCCTCATGATTATAAACAAACACATTTCATTTGTGGCAAATTATGGTCAATGATGCATGCATCTCCTCACTGATTTAGGACTTAAGATTGCAAATTTTATAGTTTTCTAGGAGTTTGTGAATTCTCTTCCAGAGCAGATTTATACTCTCTTCCATATCTGAAATTGTGCATTCATTATTTAGGATGGACAGGAGCAAAGTTGTCTCAGCTCCTCCAAGAGGCTGCTCTCGTGGCTTTGGAGTATTATTTAGGATGGAACATTCTTTGTACTAGGATTTGGAGTATTAGTTGAAGATTTCTTATGGAAGAAAGTAAGAGAGATGAGTTGAATAATTCCCAGGACTGACATAATTGATTGTCAATTATTTATCAATCAATCATATGCCATGGATTGCTCAGTGTAACTTTTTAACTTATACTCTCGAATGATTTGCAAACTCTGAACTCTGAATATGTACAATTATTCGTCAACCATACATATCATTTAAGCCCAGGTTTAATGTGATATGATCAAATATTTTGGTATGGTCATTGTTAGAAATCTTGGGGTATGTAGAGAACTCATGCAAGATTCTTTAAGCCATGTATATAAATATGAAATTCCTAAATGCATTTTTTATTTGGAGTATGGAAGAAAGTAAGAGAGATGAGTTGAATAGTTGTGATAATCCCAGGACTGACATAATTCATTACGTATGATTCAGATGGATGGTGTGTTAATTTTAGTACTATCAATTATTTATCAATCAACCATGCCAGATGGATTGCCCATTCTAACGTACTTTTTAACTTCGACTCTCTAATAATTTGCAAACTTAAAATATGTACAATCATCAACAAACTATACATATAAAATTAACAATAGATACCCTTTTAATAATAGTATAAATTTTTTTAGAAATAAATAAATAAATAGGTAATTTAAATTTTATCAATTTGTAATTTGGTGATTTGAATTTTATTAGGTAATTCTCTTTTTATATCAATTAATAAATATCTTTTTTTTTATAAGAATTCTTTTTATATCAATTAATAATAATTTTTATATTAATAAATAAATATATATTGAAAAATTAAAACTCTTTGCACATTTAATAATAATATAAATATAGATATATATACTATTATTAAATGACAGTCGAGAGATAATTTATTTTATTTTATTTTTTTAATTGAGAGATAAGAATTGAGTCTCATAAAGATTATTTAGTTACTAAAATATAGAATTAGATAATAGCAAGTGATATATATATATATATATAAGAGAATTGGAAAAAAGAAAAGGAAAGGGACGTAGTTGTTTATATATATTTATAGTTTATATACATACGCAGTCATAGGGATCAAATGAGGAGAGAGAGAAAAAAAAATAAAGAGAAGGAAAGTAGGTTTTTTTTTTTTCTTTCGGTAAATAAAGAGGAAAATATATATTTTTCTAAATAAAGAGCAAAGTAGTTGTTTATATATATATATATATGTATACAAACTGTGTATATGCGATGAAGTGCAGAGGGTTAAAAGGGCCGTTCTGTTAAAAAATATATAATTTTAGTGTGTCATGAAAGCAGGGAACATTACAAATTGTCCTTAGCATTGCTTTTAAAAGAATTTAATACTGGCCCAATAACAAAAGGGTTCCATGGTCTAGTGGTCAGGACATTGGACTCTGAATCCAGTAACCCGAGTTCAAGTCTCGGTGGAACCTTCACCTCTACCTTTTGCCTTTTGTGGATAAAAACACTTTTTATAAAAATATTGATAAACCAATTACGACCCAAAATTAATTTTAACTTAAAAACAAGGTGTGAATATTTAAAAAAATATTATAAATTTTAGAGGTTAAGGCCCATGCTTTTTGTTTTGGGGCTGCGTGTCGATTTTACCTTGTTTTATTTTACACCGTACTAAAACACTTCGTGAATAATGATTCAAAATCAAAATACCAAAAAATTATTTTTTCTTATTTTGACAACCGTTCATAGTCCAAAACCATAAGAATATTTATTTTGAACACATTTTATCATTTTGCATACCAAAAGAATATTTATTTAAGTTAATTTATACTTATTTTAAGAATTTTCCATGACCCAAAATCATAAAAACATTTATTTTGAACACATTTTATCATTTTGCGTACCAAAAGAATATTCATTTAAGTTAATTTATACTAATATACAAATATATTATAGGTATAAAATTTGATATACACGGCTTAATAACTATTAACCATTTAACACCACAATATTAATAATATAATATAATATAATATATATATGTATATATATATATATATTTGTTATTGGTGGGAAATTCATGTATATACATATCACTTATAAATTCATTTTGCTCATTTGACAAGATACTATTTAAGTCATGCTTAGTTAATAATAAGTCTCGATCCTAAAAGGGAAAATCATAGTACCATCTAGTTCTCAATTGGTAATTTCATATACTGTACTGTACTTATGTACGCATTATTTAATTCTTAGCTTCATAACCACGCTGTTGCTCTTACACGCCCCGAAATCACCCTCTCTGGACCAACCCGCTAATGCTCAAAAGCCTCTCGCTCGCGACTCGCCTTTTCCCTCCCCTGTTTTGAACACGCCCTTTAAAAATTCTCTCTCAAACTGAAGAAGGAGGAGGAGAAAGAGCAACGAGTACACGATGAGATTCTTCGGCAGGGGTTCCGGTGACTCTCCCCAAACACCGCCGGAGCCGCCAACACCTCCGTCGCCGGCGGCTGCCGCCGCACTCGGACCGGCGAGGCCGATCCGCCTCGTGTACTGCGACGAGAAGGGGAAGTTTCGGATGGACCCGGAGGCCGTGGCGACGCTTCAGCTCGTCAAAGGACCCGTCGGGGTCGTCTCCGTTTGCGGTCGCGCTCGCCAAGGCAAGAGCTTTATACTTAATCAGGTACCCTGTTATGTTCTTACTCGCAATATTGAGAAACTTTAAGAAAAATTTCATTTGAGGGAGGTACTCCTTTTATTTTAAGGTTTGCAAATTCACTTTCTAAATTTTTTTTTTTTTTTTTTTAATGAAATTGATGTACAGAATGTGGAATTTTTTTTGTTTTCCTTGAAGGGGTTTTACTAATTCTGAATTAGGGTTTTTTCGTTCCTATTATTGTTAGTATTTGGAATTGGATGGTATTTTAGTTTGATTAATGAGTGATAAAATACAATGCAATGTAGCAGAGACCTCTACACGTTGCAATGGAGACTATTCATTTTGTTTTATTCACTCATTCATCTAGTAGACACCGTTGTATATTACAGGAATATAAAATCATGAGGTGTTTGATCATGGGTTGTGAAGAAGGGGTTGTAGAATGGCTAATTTAAATGGTGCAAAAAGATTAATGTGCTTTGCCAAAAGGGGCAGTTCAACTTACATCTGGCATAAGAATAATTCCTCAATAAGTTTATCTATAATTTGTCTATTGTTCGTTTAGTTGTTGGATTACAATGCCTTTATAGTGTTTGGTTAGTGGTATTAAATCAATCATATTTAGGCACCTTTTTCATGAACTTATCTAATGTTTCTTTTATAAGTAAAAATATAAGAATAGAACCTTATTAGAAACTTAATGTTGATGAAGTAGTTTGTCTTTGTTTTGAAGATATTTATTGTTTAGGTGGAAACCATTAAGGAGTCAATCCAAGAGTGCCATTTTCTCTTGTCCTTCACCATATGGATCCCCCAAATTTCTAGGTCATGCCTACCATCAATGACTTATTTTTACCATGCATGATAAAAACGAGGATATATAATCAATCAGACTGTCAATAGAAGAAACATAGAGGTGTGAATTGCAAAAATTACTTGCATTGCATTGCGTTTGTGTTTTTTTTTTTTTGGGTGAATTCAAATATTAATTATGGTTCATGTACTTGTGGTTGCACTTAAAGGGCAAACCCAGTGCATGAGGTTCCTGCCGTTGCAGGGTCTGAGGAGGGTCAGATGTACGCAATCTTACCTCCACATGCGGGGAGGTTGTTTTCTTGTTTCGTACGCATGACCTCCAGGTCACAACGGAACAACCTTACCGTTGCACCTAGGTTTGCCCTCTACTTGCTGTTGCACTTCTTTTCCAAAAAGTGTGCTTGAACTTCTGGCTATGGAATTTTGGGGCTTATATAAGTTAAAAATTCTTCAAATCCACCTCCACCCCCACCCCCCAACAAAAAAAAAAAAAAAAAAAAAAACCCACCATCATCCGTTTTTTCCCCTCTATTTAAGGCTTTTGCTCTAGTAAGCCATTCATGTGATCGATTACGTGAGGACCTTCACATTAAGTGGAAGTAGGGAAAAAAAAAAAGAAGTGGGATTGGCTTAGGTGGATTTTGGTACACTTAGAGAGAGAAAATAAAAAATAAAAAATTGTGCTGCCTTTTTTCAGCCCCCCTTTGAGATCTAAGTCCGCAGTTTGGCTTAAATTCTGTTTGGTTTTTTTTGTTGATTTTGGACATTGTGATCAGTAAGAATTTTGTACTCTGGTTGTGGTTTTTATTCCATGCTTCCACAATAACCCAGAGCTGCCCAGTTCTGTATTACCCATTTTATAATTCAGTTTTGGCATGGCTTTGTGATGACTTAGAAAACTAAACATGAAGCTCTTTTCATAAGCAACAAGCATATAAGGGGGTTTATTGCTCCATCTTTATTTTGGATTTGAGATCCTTTTGCAATTACTTTTGGTGTTGTATGATTACATCTTTTAGTACTCAAACATCACATAATCTGACAAGTGTGATGCCTTGACTACAAATCATTTTGTACCAACTAAATCTAATTGTTATGATGTTTGGGTAGTTAAACATCCACTTATTGTTTTGTTTATCCATTAAATAGTAAAGCTTTTTAGGAGATTGCAATCTGATTAACAGTAAAAAAGACGTTGATATGGATTAAGTGGCGAGCACCAATTGACGGAATGGTTGTAGGAAGTTAATTTTATAGGTGCAGGTATGACCAATGCTTACTCTGGCAAGGATGGATTGTGTTCATGTTCAATTTGATACAGATAATAATGGGAAAGAGATTCTGGAGACTGTATGATGCTTTATGTCCTAGTGAACAAGAAACAAGCATGGGAAGAGTTCTGATTAGGGATAGTTATATTTCTTATTCAAGCGGTGGAAAGAAACGTGGGAAATTACAAATAACAAAATGTGTTGAACTGACAGATAGTGGGTGCTGAAAATGGGTGCTGCCCTCAAAGTTGGAAGCTTGCCGAATAGTCAACCCACAATTTAAATCCTAGAGATTTTGAAGAACTCTATTGTAGAGAGAAGGAACCTTTTGCAGCAGGGTGGGTCTGCTTCACTATAAGAGTCTCCTGTGACAAAATAAAAATAAAATTTATTGAATTTATACTTAAGATTTAGAAATTTCCTTCCTAGATAAATTTCAACTTGATTTATATGAATTAATGAGCCAGTGTACTGCAACTTGTAACCTTTTGAACATTGGAAGGATGAGCAATCAGAGCCCGCAGCCATCACTTTTTTCTTTGTTGGGTTTGGCTAAGATATATTTTAGAGAGTAGATAACAACAGCTTGCAATTGATAATTTTTAGAGATCCTGATGTGGGGCCAGATGATACTTACGTTAGTCTGTTACGCTATTCCCTCCCTGATCACTATTTCATGAAGCATTCCCAGCAAGCAAAATTTGCCTGTAGAAAATTCAATTATTAATTTTAAACATCTATCCCTGTAGTGTTTAATGGCATTTTTTTTTTATGTTAGTATGGTTTTTATACTAATCCATTTAATACTTATTTGATGTAACACGGAACTTAACGCAAAAAAAGGTGATTGTGGAATTTGTACTAAAAAATTGCTGATGAATTGAATTTTTTTATTTAAAATATTGTCCTTATAGTGTAACAACTTTCTTCTTCTACCCCTGTTGTTGCCTGAATGTTACGGAAATACTGAATATGGTATTTATCACATCTGTAACTAACATGCTGCTTACACTTGTGCTGTAGCTTCTTGGGAGGAGTAGTGGATTTCAAGTGGCTTCAACTCATCGGCCTTGTACTAAAGGGCTCTGGTTGTGGAGTGCACCCATAAAGAGAACTGCTCTTGATGGAACTGAATACAATCTCTTACTATTAGATAGTGAAGGAATTGATGCTTATGATCAAACGGTGAGCTTTGTTTTTTCACATGGGAATAAATTGATTATGGTTCTGTGGTCTTTCCTTCTTTTTATCTATTTGATTAATTTGTAACTAATAGAATTACTGTGATGGTTGTGTTTCTTAGTTTTGTCATTCTTCAACATCTATGTTACATGTCTTCATTTTTCTCCAACATAGATGTAACCATTTTTCTCAACTCAGTGATATTTAATCTACTTCTTTTCTCTTTTTTTTATTTTTATTTTTATTTCCCATATCTTGTTTTTTACACAATGTTATTATGTAATCTTGATGTTTTTTTCCTTCTCTTTGCCTTTTTTTTGGGGGGTGCTTTCTTACAGGGAACATACAGCACGCAGATATTCTCCTTAGCCGTTCTCCTATCAAGCATGTTCATTTACAACCAGGTTTGGACAACTTGGTGTGAGACCTCATTCACAATAATTATATCTTGGGTGTTGTAGTTGAAACATTTTATTTTATATGTTCATCTTCTGTTTGCATGATAAGCTTTGATAATCTCTATCTATCAATTTTCTGGATTACTGACTGTGCTTCTTTGTATTCTTCCTGTAATTCAGATGGGTGGAATTGATGAAGCTGCGCTTGATCGGCTCTCTCTTGTCACTGAAATGACAAAACATATTCGTGTTAGAGCCTCAGGGGGGAGAACTAATGCTTCTGAACTCGGGCAGTTCTCCCCAATCTTTGTCTGGCTTCTAAGGGTAATTGTCTTGCTACCATTCTACTATCCATCTTCTGAATATATAATAATGCCATTATGTTCTCTCGGTACCAGTTTCTAGTACCATTAAGTCATTAAGAAACTTTCATGTTTGCTGATAAACATTACTGATTCTCCTTCTAACTTCCATTTTATTACGAGCAGGACTTTTATTTGGACTTGGTGGAGGATAACAGGAAAATAACACCGCGTGATTACCTAGAGCTTGCTTTGAGGTCAGTCCAAGGCGGTGGAAGAGATCTAACTGCCAAAAATGAGGTTATCAACTGACTCCATTATAGCTATTATGATTTGTAGCTTTTTCCCAGGTTCTGTGTTTTATTGACAACCTTCTCTCAACCATCCACATAAGATACGTTTATTGTTGGTGCAATTTTGGTGGGTCAACCCAAATCCAACTTGATTCTTGAATGGGAGTCGACTACTTTTTTGGTTGTTTGGGTTTAGCTTGGGTTAAATTTTTTAAAATTGAACTCAATTAGGTTGGGCTTGGGTTGAGATGTCAGGCAACCTTAAGAGGCTAAGCCCAATTTGAATTGACCAACTACTTCGACCCACCCAATTTGCATGTCCAACATTTATAGATTTATTATTCAGTGATTTTGTGGAGCATATATAGCACTTGATTTTTTTTAAATGCTATCATTTGTTGTGCATGTCAAAATAGATGCCATAATGATACAAATATGATGATTACTAGATCAGGGAGTCGATTCGAGCACTTTTTCCAGACAGAGAATGCTTCACCCTTGTGCGGCCTTTGAGCAACGAAAATGATCTTCAGCGACTTGACCAAATTCTAGTCAGTTCTTACTGTCCTTATGTAAATTTATATTATTGATTTTGTTATTATTGTGCTTATGTTTATGTCTCTTAGTTTTTTCTTTCCGCTCTATTGGTGTTTTTAATTTTATAAGTTTTTAATGCAGTTGGACAAATTAAGACCAGAATTTAGGTCTGGTCTTGATGCTTTTACAAGGTTTGTTTTTGAGAGGGCAAGGCCAAAGCAAGTAGGAGCTACAGTAATGACAGGACCTATTCTTGCTCGCATTACTCAGTCTTTCCTAGATGCACTTAACAATGGTGCAGTGCCTACAATAACCTCTTCATGGCAGGTTAGTGTGGTTTCCACATCTCTTTATCATTTCTCATTCACTTTTTTTTTCTCTCCCCGTATTTGACAATTTTGATATGTTCACTTTTGCTACTCTCAGATGTTGTATTTTCAGTTCTCAGCATGTCAATAATGACTTGATGTGATCATTTGACCAACATAATTATTAATGTTCTTGTTGTTACGGTATTGGTAATGTATGTCAGAATGAGAAACAGAGGAAATGGCAGTTCAAATGTTTTCCCTATTGCATGGTATGATTAAATAAAAATAAATAATAAATAAACATTCTGAAAAGAAGGTATTATAAAAATATCTCAATCATACGTCCTTGATCATATATAATTATTTTGTGTTTGCACTTATGCCAAAAACTCCTCAATGAGTTTGATTCTTGTCCCCTTCCATTTATATCTATTTTTGTGGACTGGTTTAGAATTAAGAAATCAGTTTTTTTTTTTTTTTTTTTTTTTAGGTAACTAGCAAGTAAAGCACACCCATAATTGCATGACTCAGGATAATCCTGGGAAAGAATTTTTCCATTGTGGAAATTTTGATGCTACATTTTCTAATATAATAACTATAAAGATATACTCCATTGTTGACGCTATGAAAAAATATTATGTGAAAGGAAAAAAAGGGTCCTCATAAAGTTGTTTATCTCACTTGAAATATATATATTAGTAACTAAAATTGTCTGATTTGATTGGATAAAATTTAGCTTGTTAATTGTAGGATCTTTTATAGGATTGTATGATTTTTTTAATGAGGAAGTTGTACTACATAAAAATTACTCTAAGATTGTAAATTGTAAGTTTTGATAGGATTATAATGTGTGTTTTTTTAGCTACTTAATTAAATCTAACCATGTTATTTTCCTCACACAAATACAAACTCCTTTACCTATGGTGGAGAGATAGGACAATTTGAAGTTGAAAGACATGAATCAGCCAAGTAATCGAACTGCTGAGATTAGATCCGGATGACATCGGAGTTGCTTTCTGATAGAATGAAGAAGCAAAATGTGAATTGTTCAATTCTAACGTGAAGAAACAACCAAGATTTTATAATTTGTGCGAAGGAGTTGGCCTTCTGTCATGGTTGCTTCTTTGTGCTGTTCTTAGTTTTGTGGTTACTCTAGAATTTTGAGGTCAGTAGTGAAAAGGGAAACAGGTTTCTTGTTTTCCTTGAAATAAAAAAATTCAGTCATTAAATGAATTCAATAAAGGAAAGTTTTCTAATCAATGAGACATGTGTTTTGTTATTCTTTCTTTGTTTTTCTGTTTTCTTGTTATGCTCTTCTATAGGCTTGTGATTTTAATTTTTATTGATAGAAACAAGAGTTATGCTTAGTGGTCGTACAGCTTATATTATATTATATTAGATTATATATATATATATATATATATATATATATATATATATTTCAGTGTCTCAACTATTATTGTTTAACAGAGTGTCGAAGAAGCGGAGTGTCAGAGAGCATATGATATTGCAGCTGAAGTTTATATGTCTGCTTTTGACCGTTCAAAACCTCCTGAGGAAGTAAGTTTTTCTTGAGCAACTATTTTTTGCCCTATCCTGGTTTGTTTTCTAATTTCCAAGTTCTTTAGTTTGCAATAAGAGAAGCACATGAAGAGGCTGTTCAGAAATCTGTGGCTGCATTTGATGCTAGTGCTGTTGGGGCTGGTTCAGCTAGGCAGAAATATGAAGCGCGCCTTCAGAAATTTATAAAAAAGGCATTTGAGGTAATGTTTCTCTCTCACAATATAGTATGGAACACAAATTTAGAGATGTACATAGATGATGTTAATCTAATTTTTGATGATATAAGATAATATAGTTATTCTATTTTGTTTCTTTTTGCCTTTCTTCTTTGTTGAATGTATTGTGGTGATAGAAATTATTCCATTTACTATGAGACTAACAATCAGCATAACAGTCAGTTTCTAGCATAAAAGGACATGTTCACCTTGTAATCCCTTGTCTTTCTATATCTAATGTGCATGGCTTTGTTAAGTTACTGATTCTATGAGCAGCTGCAATTATTACTAGCAGGTTAGAATTATTACCAACATGTTTATCTATATTTAGATATAATAGGAAAGAATGGAAAAAGAGAATTCATGAGGGGGGCCCGATAAAGGTAGGGATGATGATGATGTTTATCTATATTTAGATCAGCAGTGCAAATCAGTGAAGTAAATGGTTGAAGCTATTGGCAGAACCACATAGGAAAATTTGGTGAAGTCAGAGGCAAAGGCTTTAGCTTATGCAAATGCATGAGGCATATGCTTTCATACATGGAGCCTGACCCTCACAATGTTTAGGCTTCAATTTAGTACTTAATCTAAATCAAAGAGTTGTGGATGATATGCTTTGGTGTCTAACTTGTAGTACTAATCAGCATGTGCAATGCAGTATGGTGTGTTGGTAGTTTGTGCGTGTCTGTTGCAGACATGAATTGCATATAAAACAATATGTTATATGCATTACTAAAAAATGTCTAATAGTGGGTTATATCTTTACTACAATTACAATTTACACTCTAATTGACTGTATTTTAATTTTACTTGTTTCATTCACCCAGGGAACATTTTCTTTTGGGCCAAGTTAAAAAAGTGCTATAATCATGTCATTTTATATTTAGAAATATGATGGGTTTTTTTTCCTAGTTGGTACTCCCCAACAATCTTTCCCTCCCCCCCCCCCCCAAACACCCCACCCCCCAAGGAATTGTTTGCACCTAGCAGGAATCGATCCTGAGACCTGATGGGTTTTAATAAAATTTGAAATGTATGCGGTTAGATGTCTTTTATGCAATAACTAGAACATATCTCATGTTCTCTGGACGTATAGGGAGTATGTGTTACATGGTAGCTCTTGGTGAATACCCGTCTGTTGAGGTTATTTTTCAACTTAATTTTAACATACATACCTTGTGAGGTTGTTGATTTGGATTAGCTACTGATGCAGGATTATAAAAGGGACGCTTTTAGGGAGGCACATTTACAATGTACAAATGCTATTCACAACATGGAAAAGGAACTGAGAACGGCTTGTCATGCTCCTGATGCAAAAATAGATACTGTCCTTAAAGTAAGCATTCAATCTTCAGTTTATTGTTGCTCCTTATTTTGTCAGAAGTTGTTCTCCATATCATGATTTTCTTGCATTTAAATTTGTTTCTATTCATTGTTACTTTTTAACTTAATTGTTTTGTTTCCTTATTTCTTGTTATTGGTTGAATATATATGTTATATTATTCTTATCTGCATAGAAGCTTTTAAAATTCCCTGTAGATATTTTTCTATACTTTCTCTGAAGGAAGACATAATTTATCTGTTATGTCAAATCATCACATTGAGAATTTCTATGGCTTACTGATGGACAACCATTGAAAAATGATAAGAAGCTGCTTAGAGTAATTAAGGGCTAAAACGTGAAGTTACTTATCAAAAATAAATAAAGGGCTAAAACCTGAAGTTAATGCTCATGGTGTAGTATGGTTTATATAGCCTAGAAATAGCAGTGTCTGTAATTTAGTGTGAGTGTAAATTTGATGCACAGGCTGCACACAATATGTTCCATGTACAATGACGCTTTGACATGGTAATTGAAAAAAATTATGCCACGGACATTCCATTGACATATTATTCTCATAGATGTTATTAAATTTCTAATTGGGAAGAATACCAGAAACCTCTCAAGGAAATCATTGACCTAAAAAAGGCACTAATATATACATACATATATATATCGAAACCTAAAGCCCAGAAAAGGTCGTCCAATGCCCTTCCTTTGTGTGACCTCTAGAGTGAGGACTACTTTTGTCCACAATATACACCGAGAAAAAGGGTGAAGGATATTTATTATAGGATATGATACCAGTTGGCAGTTACTTTAGCCGTTCAATTTGCTGGTAACCGAGTGGAGGTTATTTGGTCATCTTTTGACATAATGTAATGCTCAGTACTTTTAGATAAAAATAGTAGGAATGCCTGTGATAGTTGCCGAGACAACGAGGCACGAACCTCTGCCTGCATGATTTGCCACCTCTCTTTTACTAAAACTGGGGGAGCCAGTAACGCACAAAAAGTATTTAAGTTGGGAATGTGTGCGCGTGTGTAAACCAGCTTTAGTAGCTCAGTCATAGCATATATTTGTTACGAGAATCTCCTCAAAACCATAGAATTCCAGTCTGCACCGTAGCCTGACTTCATTTTTTTTTTCCCATTATGGTACCCCTAACCATGCTTCAACGCTAGTGCTGCAGTTATGACCTTGATCAATTCTACTGATGATATTATCTTGGTTTTCCTTTTCGCTTTGGTGTTCGTGTCAGTGTGCTAAACTGCCAGAGTTCCTAGAACTTAAACTTAGTTCACACATTATTTTCATTAATTTCTCTTTGTATTCATATTTTTCCATGTTCCATTATCCTCAGGCAAATTGGATTACAAGCTGAACGAGATGACTGGGAAATGAAATGCGTTAGAAGGAGAAGCGAAATTCTTTGTCAAGCTTATTACTCCCGACGTCCCAAAAAAAATGTCCCTTTTTGGGAATCTAACTTTTTAAGAGGATGAGTTTTAGTATTTTTTTATTATATTGGTAGCATGGTTCGCAGTCGCGATATCAATTTCGGTAACGGTGTAACGGACTCGGACGAATATCGGTATATAACGGTATCGGATCCTTAAAAAAGGGTTACAAACCGGGCGATACGTCACGTATCGGACGATACGGTGAACCATGATTGGTAGTGAATGAATTAGCAAATCTATCCATGGTGGGTTTGCATGGATGTGATGGTTTACTTTTTATAAGTTCAATGCAAGAAGGTTAAATTGATAATGTTACAAAAAAAATACTAGTGCTTTTGACTTTTCAAATGGGACATTTATTTTTGGATAGCCAAAAATGGAAAGGTGAACATTTATTTTGGGACGGGGAGAGTATTATATATGAAATTTCCACTGATTTTCCTTATCATTTATCTTCAATATTCCGACCAAGATTTCTTCTTTCTTTCTCCTTGATGGTGGATACACTTTTATGGTGTAGGTCCTTGTTTAGTACCTTGTTTAGTACTACTTCATAAATCGGGACAGGATCACTCCTAATGGATGCTGCAACCTAGATCTGCAGCATTCCATTGATGTTTCAATTGTTGGAAGCTATTGCAGCTTCTAATGAATGAAGGTTATGGCTCATAAATCTTTTGTCTCAAATGGAAAGGAAAAAATTGGGCTGACTTTTTAATTCCAGAAATGAAGGGTATTTTATTTGAGAGCTGACTTTCATATCGTATGAAAATTGAAATATTACAAGTGGTTTTGCTTTATTATTTATTTATTTATTTATTATTATTGTTTTTTGTTTTTTTGTTTTGTTTCAATCTTTGAGTTTTATTTTGATTCTGGTTTCGATTGCATCAAGTTCCAATTGAGGACACTCATAAACAGGCAACTATTATTTTGCGGCTGCCTCAATGTTTGTTGCTAGCATTATTCTAAAAATGACTATTTTGTAAGACTATTTGTAGGCATGGACATGGTGCTGAGTAACACTTTGCACAGACACAGGGTGTCTGACACAGTAACTCCTAAAATCATGACATGGGAACTCCGAAGTACGGACATATACATGCTTTCTTTATGCATGTTATATAGTTATATGTGACCTAGATTATCTGTGTAGTTCATGTTGAACTAGTTATCTTATTGTGCTATCTTAAAAGGAACCTTTTCCGTGTTAGCATATAGAGAAACCTCATCTAAGACGCTGCTAATTTCTGTCTTGTATTAGACTGGCTATTGGCATCATAATTAGTAATTACTACCAGATTGTGAGCATATAGGTTTGGACAAATTGTCGGCTTGAAATTTTTTATAAAATAAAAATTTGAGTATTTGCGCAGTTTCAACTAAACTAGTAGGTGCTGTCCAGCTAAAACAACATGGTTTCCATCTTTACTTGCATCTCCATATAGTATAATTTTCTATTAAGAAGCAGTTGTTACCTTCACCTCAGGCATGAATCTTGACAGTTGCGCCATTGGCATAGAATCTTATAAGTTGGAAAATTATGCACATGATTTTTCTATAATCAGTCACCAGGTTCCTTCCTGCCATATATCAATTGATGGTTTGGCACATTAAAGAATTTGTTTCCAATGTTATGCTGCCAAAAGCATATCATATTTTTTTCTTTACAAACTTTCTTGACTACTTGGAGTAGAATCCATTTCAGATTTAAATATGGATTGATTGACACCATTTACATCACCATTTGGAACCCACAGGAAGGCTTTATAGAATTAGTATCTATATGGATATTGGCATGGATGTGGTCCTTTAAATGTGATATGATTTCTGATCGGTCATGCAGGTTCTTGATGGTCTTCTATCCAAGTATAAAGTATCATGTCATGGCCCAGAGAAATGGCAGAAGCTGATTGTATTCTTACAGCAGAGGTGCATATTGGTATTTTTTCTGTTTCTTTTGGTTCATGTCTTAATTTTAATCTAAATTTGTCAAATTCACCAGTTTGGAGGGTCCGATTCTTGACCTTTTGAAGAAGCAAATGGACCAAATTGGATCAGAGAGGAGCTCTTTCATGTTGAAATGTCGCTCGGTTGAAGATAAGATGGAATTACTTAACAAGCAACTAGAAGCTAGCGAGAAGTATAAATCTGAATACTTGAAGCGTTATGAGGATGCTATCAACGACAAGAAGAAGCTTTCTGATGACTATATGAGTCGCATAACTAATTTGCAGAGTAAATGTAGCTCACTAGAAGAGAGGTGCACCAGCTTGTCAAAAATGTTAGATGCTGCCAGGCAGGAATCCTTGGAATGGAAAAGAAAATACGAACACGTAATAGCAAAGCAGAAGGCTGAGGAAGAACATGCCAATGCAGAAATAGCGGTTCTGAAGTCCAAGATCAGTGCTGCTGAAGCGAGGTTGGCTGCTACTCGGGAACAAGCTCAGTCTACTCAAGAGGAAGCAGTGGAGTGGAAACGGAAATATGACACTGCAGTTAGAGAAGCAAGAGCTGCTATTGAGAAGGCAGCAGTTGTGCAAGAACGTGCAAGTAAGCAAACACAACAGAGAGAAGATGTTTTGAGAGAAGAATTTTCTAGGACTTTGACTGATAAGGTAAATAAATCTCTCTCTCTCTCTTGCTCTCTCTTGTTATGCAACTTGCTTGGCAGTATTTGAGTATGCGGAAGTGTGTTGGTGATGATCTGTTTTCTTCATTAATGAAACTGCAGGAGGAGGTGATAAGGAACAAGGCAACGAAGGTTGAATATGCTGAGCAGCGTTTAACAAGTTTGGGTTTGGAGTTGAAGGTAAGCTTTGGGCCCCTGGAACATGTAGACAGACTCTACAATCTTACATCATGCACACACACACCACATGCACGTGCAAGAGCAATCACGATAAAAGCCACCGTATATGTTTCCGTATGCTACACTTACATGGGTGATTATTGATACTTGTTCTCTTAATTTTCTTGATATGTTTGCATATGTTCTGTTAGTGTAATGGATGTGGATAATATGATGGGATTGATTGCTAAACGTACAGTCTGCAGCGAGGAATATTGCATGGCGTATGGTATATTTTAGCTGGCAATTTTAACCCAAGAACCAGTAATTAATAAATTGGTGTAGGGAAGTTATATAAGGTCTCCTGTCTGACATGGGCTGAGAGACTTGACAAAATGCCACCATACCTTTTATTTTTCTGTAGTAAGTTGTAGACTTCAAACTTGCATGCCTCACCTGTCTCTGCATTTGATGTGGCATTAGTGTGAAGTTATAGAACAATCTGTTCCTGTACGTTGGTGCCTGCGTGTTTGTATGATTACAATTTTTAGTTGTCATATGCCCCCATATCAGGGCACAGGGAGTTACCCCATCCAAATGCACTCTATCCGATTCCTAGTCATAATAATAGTAATTTTGGTGGATGTATATCTAGGTGGAATAACTCGTCACAGATTCCTATTGAAATGTAAAAAAAAAAAAGATTTTGCAAAGTCACTGTATGCTCATATATTGATTATTAATTCACAAAATGGTTGAGTGGCAGTTTCATTTTGGAAAAAATTTGAGGGATACAGATTTATTCATGCACATGCTTTATGTAGCAAAATCTGTATGTTTGTATGTACACATGGTGTGTTAATGTTTTGATGATGATGGGTCTGGTGGCTTACTGTATTCTGTCCTCTTTGCAGGCGGCTGAGTCAAAGATAAAGAACTATGATCTAGAACTATCAACCTTGAAGCTTGAAGTTAAGGAATTGGGTGCGAGGTTAGAAACAGTAAATGCTACTGCACAATCATTCGAAAGAGAAGCTAGGATACTGGAACAAGAAAAAATCCATCTTGAGCAAAAGTACAGTTCCGAATTCATTAGGTTTGAGGAAGTCCAGGAAAGATGTAGAATTGCTGAAAGAGAAGCTAAAAGAGCTACTGAGTTGGCTGACAAGGCACGGACAGAAGCAGTCACTGTGCAGAAGGAAAAGAGTGAGATTCAGCGATTAGCAATGGAAAGATTGGCTCAAATTGAGAGAGCTGAGAGGCATATTGAAAATTTGGAGAGGCAGAAAGCTGGCCTGGCTGCTGACGTAGAGAGATTCCGTCTCTCTGAGACGGGTGCTGTTTCCAAAGTTGTGATGCTGGAGGCACGTGTCGAAGAAAGGGAGAAAGAAATAGAGTCTCTGTTAAAGTCGAACAATGAAGAAAGGGCTGGTACGGTTCAAGTCCTTGAGAGTCTTTTGGAGACTGAGCGTGCAGCATGTGTAGAAGCAAACAGGAGGGCGGAAACACTTTCTCTTCAGCTTCAAGCCACACAAGGAAAACTTGATCTACTCCAGCAGCAGTTGACATCAGTTCGTCTCAATGAAACAGCATTAGGTAGCAAGCTCAAGACTGCTTCCCATGGGAAACGATCGAGGGTAGATGACGATGAAATGGATCTGGATACTGGTCATGATATGGACTATGATGACAACATAATCAGAGGGAATAAGAGGTCCAAGAGTACAACTAGTCCTTCACAGTTTGTGCAGCCAGAAGATGGTGGTGGTTCAGTGTTTATGGGTGATGAAGGAAACCACAGCCAGCAAACCAACTCCGAAGATTATACAAAGTTCACGGTCCAGAAACTTAAGCAAGAACTCACGAAACATAATTTTGGGGCCGAGCTGCTTCTCTTGAGGAATCCCAACAAGAAAAACATCATTGCTCTTTATGAGAAACATGTTCTACAGAAGTCGTAACGTTTCAATTGTTGTTTGTCAAGGAAGGTTGCATTGCGGGCAGTTTATGATCTATTAAGCACCAAGGTTGATTGGCTGACAGCTTTTTAGTACAGAGTTGGGAACATCTTTTGGTGCAACCACTATTTATGACATTTAGGCGTCCTCTATCTCACTCCCTCGTATTTTCTGATTGCCTGAATGTTTTTGTATGTGTTAGTACTGTTACTTAATGATAGTGAAGTTATAACGACATGCATATCCATGTCTTGCTCTCTTGTGCTTTTACATACACACACAAGCACAAAAACAAAAACAAAAACAAAAACAAAAACGCATACGTATATGAGGGAGGCAAAGAATGAATTCATCACGTTTGGTCATAAAATTGACGCCAAGATCTTGGCGATGTAGTTATTTGAAACACCGGTAGCATTGCTGAAGCTTTTCTAGATGTAATGAATTTTATAAATATATATATTTTTTAAAAGGAAAACTTTTAAATCTTGTTTTAATTTACTCTATCCGTTCAAAATAAATGTCTATTTGTCTGTTAAAATAAATGTTCCATTTTTTTTTTTTTTTTATACAAAAATGTTCCATTTGAAAAGTATCAATTTTAACTTTTTCATTATGAATAAATTTGCAGATATTTCGATAGCCTAATGATTAGTGTCTCCGGTGGATTTTGAGAGTGCCATGTTTCGACTCTTTGCACCTATTAATCTAACTTCTAACTCTTCTTATCTTATAAAAAAAAAAAAAAAAAAAAATTATGAATAAATTTGGTAATTCATTCATTATCAATACAATAAAAATATATATATTAAAACTTCAAGCTTTGATTTGTGAAAAGGTACGGAGGTGGTAGCATTAAAGTATTGCAATGGTTTTATATCATATGAATATGAATGGAGTTCTCGTAATTTTATGTATCATCTCTCAAATTACATTTAACTTTTTTTCTATTACATGTTATTTTTCGCGCTACAGCTAAATTAGCAATTGTTTTTAATGTTTGAAAAATAATATTTATGTTAGAGATACACCAAGAAGAGAGAGAATGAAACAAAGATCAAAGAATAATGAGACAGAAAATAGTGAAGTGAAAATTTTTCTTTTATTCACTTGTCAAGTACATCTCACAAACACAAGCTCACAGGATATATATATATATATATGGAAAAAAATCATCTTCCTTCCCCACTGAAACTGTCCGATGAAGGGTAACTCGGCTGATGTGGCAAAAGTGGTAAAATGGATAGGTACAGTAGTTTATCTTATACCCTTTCTAATTGTATATAATTGTTTATACTCTGTACATACTTTCCTATACTCTGTACTTGTATTTGATTTTCAATTTGAAATTCCCCCCAAAATGAAAATGAAAATTCAACTCGCCCCCAAAACTGATATATATATATATATATATATATATATATATATATATATATATATATACAAATCTGAAATATCCCTCTCATTTTTGAAATATATATAGTCAATTTGAAATATCCCTCTCATTTTTTAAATATGCAAATTGAACTCCATGATCAAGCGCAATCGAGAAAGAAGGCAACCAAGAACCAGACATAGATTTTGGAGAAGAAGAAGCTGAACTTATGATGTTTTGTGGAAGACAAAGAATCTTTGTTCAAAGAAGCTCCGTCTGGAAAAATCACCATGCATTCCGGTGAAAAGCTGAAGCTCTGATCATCCAATCCGGCGTAATTTATACATCTTCTTTATGCACCGTATTATTGCATCTTTCCAAAATCGTATTTAAGTTTCAATTTTCAATTTCTCCCTAAAAGAAAAGTTGACATTCCCCAAAACTTTGTTATATATACTATGTTTGAAATATCAAATAGGAAAGAATATGAAATCTGGTGAAGAAACTCTTTCCAAAACTCTGCTATTTATGTTTATGTGTAAAAAAACTCTCTTGGTGAAGGTCGAAGAGGCATATCAAACAAAAAGAGATCTAGTCGGAAAAATCACCATATATTCCGACGATAAGCTAAAATTTCCGAAAAGGAGAGATTCCCCCAATATATTTCCGACAGTCCGGCAAGAAGCTGAAGCTCCGATCATTATAAGTATTAGGTTATTATTTTGAATTTCTTGTAACTTTATTCATAATAATATATCAGATTTTATCTTATATGGCGGCAATTCGGTGGTGATTATTGGTAATAACAAAATTTGAAGGCTGGGTTCATCACCTACTTTTTGTAACAGCATACAAATCAATTTATTATGCTCACAACTTATTAAAACATGTATCATGTATAAATTGCATATTGTATCAACATATTTTCCTAACACGTTATGAATTGCATATTGTATCAACATATTATCATAACACGTTAAAAAAATTAACTTACACAACTCAATTTTCACAATTCCTAAATTAATAATAAAAATCACAAATACTTTCAATATATATGTACGAAGATTTGCATATTCCATCACTTACTTTTTGTAACAGAATACAATACAAAAGTTGGAGAGATCAAATTATTATTATCATAACTTTTTAAAACATGTATCTTGTATGAATTGCATATAACATCAACATATTTTTCTAACACGTTAAAAAAATTAACTTTCACAACTCAATTTCACAATTCCTAAATTAATAATAAGAACCACAAATACTTTCAACATATATGTAGGAAGATTTGCATATTCTATCATCTACTTTTTGTAGCAGCATACAATACAAAAGTTGGACAGATCAAATTATTATTATCACAACTTTTTTAAACATATATCACGTATGAATTGCATATAGCATCAACATATTTTCCTAACACGTTTAAAAAATTAACTTCCATAGTTCTAAAATCTATATAATTAGTCAATTATTTCAAAACCCTAAAATCTCAAATAAATTTATATTTGGATACTGAACTATACCGATACATAATCAATGTTTAAGATTTGTAATTTTAGTGAAAATGAATAGAATAAAATATTTTTGTATATAATATATTGTTATATATATATTTGGATACTAAACTGTAATTTGTATATATATTTTTGTATATATATAATGTATAATTGTATGTTGTATAAAGATTTGTAATTTTACTGAAAAAGAATGGAATAAAATATTTTTATATATAATATATTGTTATACCAAATATACTAAACTGTGATATATTTTTTTATTTAAGATTTGTATATATATAATATATAAGTGTACGTTGTATTGAGATTTGAAATTTTACTGAAAATGAATGGAATAATATATTTTTGTATATAATATATTTGTGTATATAAGATTTGTGTAATATTTGTATATATATTTTTGTATATATATAATGTATAAGTATACATTGGAGATCTGCTGTATTAATACATGTGGTAAAAAAAGAGTGCATCAGTAATTTTGTTAAGTGTGTTGTTGACTGGGTGCTGAGTTGGTTTGTGTCAGGCGCTGATGTGGCAAAAAGGGCTGAGGTGGTTTGCTCTCAGCCCTTGGATTCTCACTGGATTCTGTTCAGTAAGGGATACAGCACTGGAGCAGATTTGAATCCTATATATTTATATATATAGCTTCAAAAATGGGCTTCTTCCGTAAGCTAAGCAAAGAACTTCTCTTGTAAGCTAGATAGCAAGCTTCCTTTGTAAGATAAGTAATGAGCTTCTTCTATAAGCTAAGTAAGGAACTTCTCTAGTAAGCTAATATTTGGAATAAATACAAGTGGACCCCACTTATATATATATATATATATATATATATATATATAACAATTTCTTTGTTCCTTCCGAAATGTCTCATTCCATTAACACCTCAATGACACTAATTTTCGTGAGCATATCAATGACATTTTATTTTGATAAAAATGCCATGATGGCACAACAAAAATGCGAACAAGTCTCGAGAAACATTGTAACTTAAAGATAAAATTAAAACCCTACAAGTCATGGAAATTTACTATAAATTACTGTTTTTTTTTCCTAGTAAAGATAAAAAATATTATTCATCAAGAAAAAAAAAAAAAAATACAATATGTTTGAACCTCAGAAGGTGTCCTCTGTGTCCTCATCAATAAGAAAATCATAAATAACATGAGCAGCTAAGAGAAGTTACTCAATCCCTGTTCATACATTTCTACAAATATCTCTCTCAGTGAACTAGCTAACTTCAACACACCTACACACACTCCATACACTCACTAAACTTAACACACACACACACACACAAGAACTCTCCATATAAATTGGTTACGTAGTTAAACTAATTTAATCTGAGTCTAAACTTAAACTGACTAAATATTTCACACCAACAACAAAACTAAAAAAATATATCAGTTCTTGTCTATAAATTCACTGTTTGGGCAGATAAATGAATGAAGAGTCATGACCTTGAACAACCAAATTTGGAATCAACTGAGGTGGGCTCTCTCTAATTTGCTTCCCAACGTTGTAAGAGAGAAAAGGATTGTAATAATCCACAAATTCCTTGTTCATGATCATAAGACTATCATGCTCACTTTGGCTGTTATTTGATGATCTTTTCTTAACTGATTCTTTAGTACTACTCAAACTGCATTGTCTAGGCTGTGTTTGGTAGAAAACCTTTGAAACCACCATCTCCCCATCTCTCTCTTCTTCATTGTTGCCGAGATGGTACTGGTGCATTACCCAGCTCGTCTTCTCGGGCTTCCTTTGCCTGCCGTAGTTGGAATAGAGCACTAGTATCTTCTTAAACCCTCTCACTGCTCCGTCGATGAGAATTGCCCTAGTTTTGCCTGTTTTATGCCATCTTGTCTCGCCACTATCGGCATCCGTGTCCACCTTTCTTCGCTTCCTAGTCCCGGTTGTGTATGCCTTTGAAGGCCTGTGAAAGAAGTGACGGACTTGGCCATCTTTGGTCACACCTGCATTATCAGATTAAGCACGATAAGAAGCACTTTTTTTTTTTTCTTTGGCAAGAAAATTCACACATCCGTTTGTGATTTTTCCAAAAGGAGGCTTAAACGCTAATCTTTTACTCTGAGCTAGAGGTAGAGAAAATACCATTATACTACGATCTTTGATGATATTAAGAAGCACATTCATCATAGTTAAGAAATATATATGTCAAAAGAAGTGCCTTTAGTAGGATAAAAGTTAGCATATTATGATGAACTAAAACATTATAATATATAATCAGATGGAAATAATATATGAACAAGCATGTCATTCTTCTGGAAAAGTCCATAGTGTAACTCTCCAAGATACCTATATAGGGGAATATTTTCTATTCATTAGTTCACATGGGGATATCTGGGTCAATAACCAAGGTTAATTTTGTCTAGTATAGTTTGGGAATGTAGAGTTTGGTTGTGTTCCCTCATGGAAGAGGTTAAAAATTTTGGAAACAAGTTAGCATATTATGATGAACTAAAACATTATAATATATAATCAGATGGAAATAATATATGAACAAGCATGTCATTCTTCTGGAAAAGTCCATAGTGTAACTCTCCAAGATAGGTACATAGGGGAATATTTTCTAGTCATCAGTTCACATGGGTATATCTGGGTCAATAACCAAGGTTAATTTTGTCTAGTATAGTTTGGGAATGTAGACTTTGGTTGTGTTCCCTCATGGAAGAGGTTAAAAATTTTGGAAACCAATTTTTGGGGCAACATATATAAAAATGGAAGACATGACAAGAATATTTTTAGTGAGAACATGGATCTTTAATGCTACAATGCTCGATTAATTTTTTGTGCGATTCTAATAGATAGTGTTCAACAATTTTTATTTAATAGTAATAGATAAGACAGACTATCTCTCTTTGAAAAGTGTTTATCTCAATAATTGTCACATCAGTCAGTAATAAAAATCGACTGCGAATTATATCAAATTTCTATAAATAAATAGTAGTTGTAGTATTTAGTAGATTATTTTTATTCATCAATAAGAAAATTATTTTATCTTCGCTAAACTTTGTCAATTCAGGGTTGTTTCATTGTTACTTTCATCAACTATAACTTAATTGTCTCTCTTTTTCGAGTTTGCATGCAACAAATTAATTTTTGTTTGTATATATAACATTGCTTCTTTTCTAGAAATTATAGAAGTGCATTATGAAATGACTCTTTAATCTGATCCCCTAACTCACTCACAATGTGGCTTTTATTGGGTATAATTTGGAAAATTTGGAAAATAGTGCAGTATTATCCAGTTGGGGAAGTATAAAATACTAAATATATAATCAACCATTAACACCTTCTATGGGCATCTAAGAAGCATAGTTTAATTATATAACAAAGCATGCTCTTTATATTATGTTTTGGGGGGTATATGTGCATTGTTTTTTGGGAGACATTTTTATTTTTAAGAGTCTTTGTGTGATTATCTTTTTGAACAGATTGTGGCACAATCTTTTGCCAAGACTGAGTATATTTTAGCATCATTGTTGACAACTTCACAAGCAACATGGCTAAAGAGAATTTTAAAAGATGTTGGTGAGAAGCAAGTAAAAATTACTCCAATTTTGTACAACAAAAAATCTGCTATATTGCTATGACAAAGAGTCTCGTCTACCATGCTCATATAATAATATTATATAAGTAGAAGAAATAACAAGAATACTTTTGTTCAAGTTCTATATATCTTTCTCCACAAAACTGCATCTCTTGGACTGCTGACAACATTAGGCTAAAGCTCACCTCATGTTCTATCAAGTATATATAGCAGAGTAGCTACACATTGCAGCCACTTGCGAGCTTCCAAGCAGCTTCGTCAGACCTCCAAGGAAGCAACCTGACAGAATGTAATTCCACTTGTAGCAGGAACTTTCATAGTTCCTCGTCATCTTATACAGCTATCTTTAGTTGTAGAGTTGCTTCACAATGCAATATTGTATTTTCTTAGGATACTTAGCCTGGATGATTTATACTCTGTTTGGTAGAAAGGAAAGAGGAGAAGGAGATAGGAAGGAAGAAACAAACTTCCTTCTTTTGGTAGAGAGGAGGGAAGGAGAGAAGTGATAAGAGGATGGATGAGTCACCATTTCTCCTTCACAAATTTTCATCCCTCCAAATATGCACGAAGGTGTCAAAGAAAAAAGACAAGTCTATTATAAAAGATTTTAAATTACAAAACTTTCCTTATAATTAATTAACATAGTATCTTCTATTCTCTCATAACAAGTATAACAAGGTATTATCTCTTTCTCTTCTCTTCCATCCATCCAAACAAAATGAGGGAATAACATAATCTCTTCCCTAAGAATATCCCATTCATCTTTTTTTTCTTTTTTTTTCATCTAACCAAACAAAAAGAGAGAATGCCACAATCTCTTCCTTATGAATGTCCCATTCAACTTTTCTTCTCATGTTTCTATTAAATTTTATTTCTTCCTACCAAACAAAGCATTGGTGTGATCTCTGAAACATTGTATTTTCTTCTTGGCTGTACTCTCTTGCAGCCTTGTTTGTTTGTACCACTTTTATCTATACAACTGACTTACCTAACCAAAAATTATATATCTGCGTAGATATGTATATATTTCTAACGAAACATCTTTTTATTGTCTATTCTAATTGGGCATCTTCCATTGCCTATATAAATAGTGTGAGATATATATATACTTTGGGGGAGATTGTGAGATATATATACTTTGTAATTGGCTAATTTAGTTGTCAAAACAAGTCCGATCGAGTTGTAATATTTTGGTTCAGAATTTCAAGATTGAAGATCGGATGCGAAATTGAAGGAGTTCAAGTGTTCATACTCTAATACACTTCGCGATAATGAGAACAATGCTTTAAAAATGTATGTAAGTGTGTGAGAATACTTAGGAAGTTTTGGAAGTTTTGAAGATTTGTTTTTGTTCATTGGGAACCAGTAGTCAACTGTTGTTTTCGAAGGAATCTTCATTGTCCTTTGGGAACAGTAGCCAATCCCTCTACTGGTTTCAGAATTACGTCGGATTAGGTTCTGTTCATCCTGAACCGGTTAGCCAACTCTAGTACTGGTTCAAGGCTTTTGATTTGTTTTGGTAACTTCAGTTTCCTGATATGTTTTGATTCCTATTTAGTCTAGACTTCCTTCCAAAATCTTATGCACGAATTTACCTTATTTTCGAAGCATATCTAGGTTTCTAAAAGTCTATAAAAACATGTTTTCTCAATTAGGATTTCACGGCTTTTTGCATACAAAATTCAGATTTAATTGAGAACTATCTTTATGAGATTTTTATTTAGAAAATCAATCTGATTTTTCTGATTTTATTTTTGAGAGCACACACATAAACACAAGAGTGATTTAAGAGTGTTGTTCTCTATCTCATCGGAATTGAGCATAATTGAAGATTCAGAGATTCCGAAAAGCAGAATTAATTTATTTTTCATCAAATTCAGATTATTGAAGAAAAGGGGTGAAGCGATCACACTTTTAAAGGGTCAAAGCATTCGTAGAGTGTTGTTTGATCTACCTGCAACTCTTCTACAAAAATCAAGAGTAAGCCTGAGGTCAAGAGCTATTGGACGGGGAATCGCAAAGTCAGGAATTGTCAGCGATTGGTATTTGCTAGAACGATAGGGTGTGAGCCTAAGTCAAAGTTCAGTATACTTTACTTCAAACATAGTAGATCGTTTTGCTCTGGACTGCACAGTCCACGAGATTTTTTCCACAACAATTGGTATATTCTACTAATTAGAGTTTCCTCGCTAAAAATCCTAATGTCATTTCTCAAACTTTATTTACTTTACTTGCACTTTATTTTTCCTTTGTGGGTTTGATTTTAGTTTTATTTCGGTAAAATAAAAAAAGTAAAAATTGATTAAAGAAACAAGTAAAACATATTCACCATCTTTCTAGGATAATTATCCATATTATTTTCCACAACTTTTTTCGCTGCATACAACTCACAAATAACACTACTTCCGTCTCATATTAGATGTTAATTTTGGCTCTCAATTTTTTTGTGAGTCAAAGTTCCCGAAGTGGACATCTAATATGGGACAAAGGTAGTATATAAGTATATGAACGAAATATAGCTAAAAATGACCTCAAATGACTCAAAGGTAAAATGTGGTAGTGAGTTAAAGTTTTTGAAGGAACATCTAATACGGGACAGAGGGGATAGTTACAGTATTTCTCATATTATTTTTTCATCAATTCGAAAATAATTTTCTCTCTAGTAAACATTCATAATTTAAGGTTCATCAACTAGGTCTTAATTGTCATTCTTTTTCAGTTTTGCATATATGCAAAAAAAATTAATTTTTGCTTGTACATTTGTCATTTCTTCTTCTCTACAAATTATAGAAGCTAGTGCATTATAAACTGGATATTATATAGTAGAACTTGATGATATGGGGTTAAGTCTTGGAACAACAAGATGCATACCCTAACTAGCTTGTTATAGGCCATTGGAGAAAGATTATTATGAGTGTTTTTAAATGCCCTAGCTAGGCAATTTTAGTGTTAATTAATTAGCAGTCCTCATCATTGATCAATTAAATCAAACTATCTTAAACTAATTGGTTATGACAGTTGAGGATACTAATTTGTATATACCTTCTTCTTCTTTTTCATTCAAATAATAATAATAATAATCAAGAATAGAAACTAGTATAACACGTACTTGTGAAAAAGAAAGGCTGGAGGAAGTTTCTGCTTTCTAATTTTGGCTCCCATCCAAATTATCATCCACTAATTCCAACCTTTTGGTTATCAATTTACTTATAAGAATGATGAGAAATGCAGATCAGGCAATCATTCTTATTTATTTATTATTATTATTATTTTTTTTTTTTTATTGTATTAACCATATCAATTCCTTGAACCCTTGTCACATCAAGAATATTATGAGCATATATGTTTCCATATAATATAAGTTTTGCCCAATATTGCAACTGATCTAATTAAATAAAAAGGTTAGATGCATGAATTGAAACACACACGGTACACACAATTAAATAAAGGGGGTAATTGAAGATCACCTGGTAGCTTCTCTGGGTGAGTGTAACAAATTCCATTCTCTCCCTCCAGTATAGGAATAAATTCATGGATAAGAGGATGAAGCTTGTGGGCATCAGAAGACAACACCTTCGCCTCTAAATGCTCAATAATTTCTTGGTCCGACGGATCGAACTTCACTCCGGCTGGTAGCCCCGGCAACTCATGTATCCTCTCCTATATAATTCAAAAAAAAAGAATTAACTAACAATTTTATAAGAAACATAATTACAAAAAAAAAAAAATTATATATCTATATATGAAGCATTTAAACAATATGCACATCTTCATATATATATACATATATATATATATATATATATATATATATATATATATATACAGACCTGATCTATTAGTTCTATGTTAAAGCCACACGAAGGGCATGTTATGGTACGAATTTTATGGACTTTTGAGTCAATAATAGAGTTTTCTTTAGAAGAAGGTGAGATTATTTGGATGCCACTTTCATCTCTGGAATCACTGGACCATGTCATCTCTCTTGCATTCAAAAGTAGCTTTCTCTCTCCTCTTTCCTCTAGCTATGTCTGCAAACTCGGCCAAGATCTAACAAGATAGATAGAGAAACAAAATAAGAAAAGCACATACGTACATACATACATACATATATATGTATATATATATCCAAACACATATGCATAAAGAAAAAAGCAAGGTTCCCTATTAGTATAAAAGCATGTTTTCGGTTAACCAAATCTGTTCTTCTTATTCTTGATATTCTAAAGGAATTGAATTCCCCACCTTTTGTTCAGTCTTGTGTATTTGGTTGAACAGTATTTTGTTAAGTTCATTCCTTATATATATAGAGAGATAGAGGTTACATACATTTTCCTTATATATCCTTGAAATAAAAAAATAGCCAGACTATCTTATTTCTAGAAAAATAAAAGTTTGCTTAGTCCCCAAGTTGGGTTTTATTCATGTGTATATATGCACATGTAAGAGAATATATGCAACTACTATTTTTAATTGGGTTGCTTTTTTACTGTGATAAGGAAGGTTGTAATTCTTTTTCACTCTCATTAAAGAAATGAGCAATACAAGTTATTTCACATGTGGTCCAATTATATATGTGCAAATATTTTTTTTAAAAAAATTAAGAAAATAATATATAAAGAAAATGAATCCAGATTTGGTATGGATTTTTATTTTATTCTTTTTAAAATTTTAATTAATAATTAAAAATAATGTATTGTTATAAAGTTAAAATACGTATCAATAGTCAGTATAGATTACCTCCTCACTAACGAGTAGGTAAATATTGTGGGCAAAGAAATTAACTTAAAAAATTGTATTTCTTACCTAAAAAGAGGAGGGTAGACTGTAGATCGAGTGGAGATGGAGCAACCTGATTCTTTTTGGAACTTTTTATCTCATGAGAGAGATAGCTTTAGCTCCAGTGTCAACCTAAAGTGTGCTTAAAGCTACATGTAAAATTTTAAATTCATGCCAACAGAATGAAATGTGCTAAAAATTATTTACCCAAAAAAATAAAATAAAAAATGTGCTAAAAATTAATATGTAGTTGTATCTCTAAATATCTGTATATACCAAAAAAAAAAAATCGATAATTAAGAAAAAATTATGAAATGAAAGTAGGAAAAGAATAAAAAAAAATACATGTATATGTGAATGAATAATGCTATTAAGAGAGTTTTTTTGTGTCAAGAGTCACACGCTTTTCACATTTAATAACCGGATTGTCATAATTTTTTTGAAATTAATAAGATTTAGTAACAAATATATGCATATATGTATAGGTGTATATACTCATCTGTATATGTCTATTAATCTATTTCTTCCCCCTCCTGATTGACATAAAAACACATATACATAATAATAAATGCTTTAAAATTTTATTCATCATTATATATAGTTTGACTGTTTACACCTATTACATATATCTGGTAGAGTGCATTAATCAACTTACACTCTGTCTAACAATTTAACATTTTAGAGCACATATTAATATGATATTATAGCAGTTTAAGTTTTGATACACATTGTCGCACTCACTTTAATTACTGGTATGCCGCGTGAACAAAAATATTATGACACATAAAACCAATTAAATTCTTTCATATAAGTAATAATTTATCAATTTCTTTGAATTTTATTACTACATATTGATATTGGGTATATGCATATAGAATGCATAACTCTTTATACAATAGTTATGAAAAATCTTTAACATTCAATTTTTTAGCATCCAATGATTTAAATGCTAAAAAGACTAAAATATCTCTCTATAATTAAATAAAAAAATAAAAAAATAACTAAATATGAAATGACTAGAGTGTCCTTTTTTTCTTTTTCTTTCCTTTCTTCTTATATGTATAAGGGCATTATTGGAAGGAAAAAAAGATATTTCAAAATTTTATATCTTACAAATTGTCTGGTTATTTTTTAAAACTTTAAGCACTTATATATCCCAAAAAAACCTGAGGTATTTTTCTCACTTTGCCGTATTAATATTTAATTAGTCTACCATATTATGTCATGATTATAGTCATTTAAAGCTTTTTTTTTTTTTTTTTTTTTTGCATGGTTAGAGGGTGTTTATATAATATATATATATATAATTAACTAATTAAGTTTTTTTTTTCTTTTTTTCTTAACCATGTAATTTGATGACGTGGACCAGTTTGGTGGTGACAGGTTGTGGACAGCATGGAACTGAAAAGAGGTGATAATATAATAGTAATATCGATCCCATTTATGATTTTTAACTTGTCTACACACCCGACATGCCATGTAATGGATTAGAAGCCAATTCAAGAATTTAGCTTCTCAGAGAAGCATCGCAACACAAAGCTTCGTCCCGACGCTTTATTAGGCTTTACTTTAACGTATGGATGACGGTTCGGGGATAATGTCAAGATGTTTCCCTATTAGAGGAAAAAGGGAGTCTTTTTCCTCCTAAAGTTCACATTATTTAATAATTGTCCCTATTTTGAGACGCGTTGTCTGGGCTCCGTTGATGAGTCGTCCAAATCTTCTATAGTATAATACGTGTATGTTATGTGAACGATTTTTCACACGTGTCGAGTGATTTGATTATTTAATTGTTACAACACACGTGTTATAATGACCGATGATCTAAATACAAATAAGACACGGCGTGAAGTATGAGATGAAAGTTCTGTAATATAACACACGTATTGTAATGACAGAGGATCTATATACAAATAGGGCACGGCGTGAAGTATGGGATGGAAGTTCTGTTTGGGATCATCTTCATGTACTTACTTTTTGACCCAAAGATACTTTAAAAAAAGGTTGAAAGTTCATAGATAAAGTCTGATATATGTGAGTATTCAACCCCAATAGATTGGACAGTCATACAATCACAACTTCAAAAGCATTTCTAGGTTAAATATATATATATATATATATATATATATATATATATATATATATATGTGGACCCGATCTTCAATGGCGTTCTAAGCACTCTGAATTCAGCGGTGTTGTGAAACATGCTTACATCATAAATACAACACTTATATAAAAATAATGTAAAGTTCATGCTAATATACATTTATATATAAAAGTAAATAAATAAATAAAAATAAAATAAAAAAATAAAATATGCAAAACGGTAACGCTTAACATTCTTATAGTGAAAATAGAAAAGAAAAGAATTGTTGAGAGTTTGTTTACTGTTTGAATTGATAGATAAATTGTAGTATAATAGCAATCCTAGAAATCAATCTTCACGGATGGAGGTAACTAATGTTTTAGTCTTTGATTTTCATTTTTTTTTTTTTCTTTTCTTTTTCAGGTGAGGAAAAGATATGAGAAAAGTTATGGTAATGATTATAAAAAGTATAAATGCCAGAACTTTATTGTAAAAAAAAAACCTTTATCTTAAAAGCTTGTTATAAAGAATGGGTTCCTTTTAATATTCATATTATTAAAAAAAAAATGCCCTCAAAGACGTGGAAATGCAAGGAGCTTATAGTAATTATTAAAATAAATAAAGAAACGCAAGAAAATAATAGTAAATGCAATTGGATGGCTATAACGGCTGAAGTTTCTTCACAATATCCTTTCGCTAACGGGGAAGATTGAAATGAAGGACCCATATTCCTGATTTGAATTTCTTTGTATTTTCTTAGGCTTCTAAAGTGTCCTGAATTTGTTATAGGACAATACTTGCCTACTTACTGGTGTGTAGAGAGTTCATACTTACCCTGATATGTCGCAAAATTAGTAGAACATGTATCCTTACATTATAAAATAATAAAAATTAAAAGATTTGAGAGATTATCCGAATTAAACCCAATGTAATCCAAATCTGGCCCCTCCCCCTCCCCCTCATGCTACTTTGATTTTCTTTATTTGTCCACAGAGTGGATGAGAAGAGAATCTTGTCGGAAAAAAACATTTTAAGGTAAAATTCTTAAATAAAATAATATTACAAGATACAAACAAAGTTGTGGATTATAAATAGAAAGAATAACTATAAATGAAATGATATATAGATATTTATTTTTTGCTAAAAGAAAAAGAAGACCAGAAATAAGCAATAACAATCTATCCAGCCTGCAATCAACAAATCATCTATTAAACCATGTAAATCAGATTTTATGTAATTGGATATACTTTTAGATAAAAACAATTGATAAGTATATATAAAGATTACACATTAAACTATGAAAGATAAAAGTAAAAACTTCCGGTATTAGCATATTAGGGTTTTAGTGTGCTAGTTTGAGAGAGAGAAAGAAAGGAAGAGAGTTAAATTAGGATTTGATTTGCATCCTTTTAGATTGACCCGGTAAGCATTCAATTTATTTAATTTTTATTATTATTTATTTTAAGGACACTTGTCACATTACTTTTGTATGGTAAGCAAAAACTTCCTACTCTCACCGATGAATAGACTAGTATTGTCCTTTGTTATATATATATATAATTAGCTTGTTTCGTGGACAAGACAACCTTAACTATTCACGAATTTATCTTACATATTTATGCAGCATTTATAGTTATTAGAAGTTATAAAAATAAAAAATAAAAAACGTTAGTTCTCACAATTTGGGTTAATCAGTATTTAATTTAATTTTTTTTTTTTTTAAGATGTCCTTCAAAATAAATAGATGGTTCCATCCCAGCAACCAGGAGTTTCAATGCCTGTCTAATTGCTGGGCTTAGTCCATGCCCAATAAATTGAAGTCCACCTATCCAATAACAATCATAATTAAGGATGGCAACGAGACGGGAATAGAGCGAATTTGTCTAAATTCATATCCGTTCCGTTTAATTATGAACAAATTCATACTCGTGACGGGTTTTAATTTTATAATTCATAGGACCATACCCGCCCCATTAAGAGATTAGTGTACTTGTTCCCTGTTTACGTTTTTATTTTTATTTTTTATCTGTATAAATAAATTGATAAATTCTATACAATGTGTGTGTGTGTATATATATATATATATATTTTAAAGTATAAAGAAAGGAGCGGTGCGGATGTTTGTCAAAATTTGTACTCGTCCCGTAACCCGTGACAGTTTAAAATCTAAATTCATATTTGTCCTTACGAAACATAAACGATTTCCATACTCGTGCCGTTAAAAATGAATTCTGACAGTACAAATTGTCATCCCTAATCATAATCCCGAACTTAGTAGCAAATAGTGATTATATGAAATTTAATATAATATATACAGCAAATACAATAGAAACAATGTTTACCAAACATTATATTAGATGTTCTGGACTATTAATTTTCCAACTCCTATATTACTGATAATGAAGTCTTCAGTCTTCACCGTGGCATTCCCACTGAACATAAATGGCTAAATCAGGCTCAGCAAAAAAATTTCAGGGCCGTATTTAGCAAGCTGGTTTCTTGCCAACACGGTTGAGCCTACTTTGGCAGTTGGCCCAACCCAACCTTGGCCCATCTGTCTCATGCCCTTGGTCACCAAATGTTAGTAAAGCCTAATTCAACTGCCCCAAGCAGCATCACATGCATATGGAAAAATGATACAAAGTTTGTAAGTCGAACTAGTTTATATAATAAGGTTGACATCACTATAACGTCATTTCTCGCTCATATGAAAACAGTCGATGCATATCTTATCACGAGTTTAATAATAAAAAATAATATTAAGATTTATTAGTCAAATATATATACGCACCCGCTATAGTCTATCTCACCTGTTGTGATTCATAGGATCCAAAACATTCCACCAACTTGGTAGGTATATCATCTCCACATTTGAATGATTAATATTATAAAAAGGATAAACAAATTCATTTGTTCCATCAACTAATATAATTATTATTTAACGTACCTTCACAGTTCTTCCAAATGAAAGTACGTAATTTCGGGAGGTAAGCATGTGGACCTATCTTAAATTCAAGACATATCTTTCAACTAATTCAATTATTTAGATCAGTTGGAAATATCTGGGCTAACTACTGATACATACATATATATATATATATATATAAACACACAGAGTCACACATATAAACATTGTACGATCCTATTATGAATGAATATAATAGGTCTAATTGTATATTTAAATGAAAGTAATTACAAAGTGAAATTTGATGGAATTGGCCACCCTTCTCCACCAAGAGATATTCCCCAATTCCACACGGAAACGGAGACTAATTAAATTCACCGCCAAGGACAAGTCACCGTCCAACCTATCCATTTCAAAATTCTCACAATCTCGATTCTTCGTGGAACATCTCTAACGTACGCCTTTATGCAATGTCTACCACAAAAAATCAAAGTCAAAACCCCACCTAATTTTCAATTTCTTGATCTGACTCACGAGAAAATTCAATTGATTAAAAATCTATTCACATTAAAAGATCAAAAACATTGATCCATCTCTAGATTGTTCAAAATAGCCGCCACATGAACAATTGAAGGCCTATTTTCTCTACAATTTGCAACACAAGCCAGAGCCACTTTAGCCATTCTAACAAGAGGCTTCAAATTGGAGGGAATCACAAGTCTAGGGTCCAAAAGTTCACTAAACTTGGTGTCCTTAATCAAAGGCAATGCCCAATGAACTAGTGACCACCCTTCTTCACTTCTCCTCCCGCTCAAAAGCTCCAACAGAACAACCCCAAATCCATAAACATCACATTCCTTCGAACAACCCTTTCTCTCAACCCTATATTCATCGTCCACATACCCTTCGAGCCCTCTCACCTCATTTGGTCCCAAAAAAGAGAGCCCATAATCACAAACCCTAGCACAAAACTTCACGTCTATCAAGATATTCGAGGGCTTGATGCAACCATGCACTACATGAGGCACCATCACTTCGTGCAGGTACTCCACGCCCCGGGCGGCTCCGGCCGCGATCCTCAGCCGCCGGTCCCAATCCAAGAGCGACGCTCCGTCCGAGTTTTGGTGGAGGTAGAAGTCCAAACTCATCATGCTCGCTAGCTCCATTATGATAATTCTCTCTCCCGGAGCTTCCGAAAACCCTAGTATGGGTACCACGTGAGAGTGGTCGGCCAAGGATAACCATTTGACTACGGACGAAAACCCGAATCCGGCTTGGGTCAGAACAAGCTGAGGATGAATCCGTTTCACTGCAACGAGCTCGCTGTTTGGTAAAACGGCTCCGTACACGGTCCCGATTCGGCCTTCCCCGATAATTCTCCGGTGGTTGAAGCCGTCGGTGGCGGTGTGGATGTCCATTAATGAATAAGGGCATGCAGAGAGCTTGGTTGGAAGACTTTCTTCGGATTCAACGGGCTTTTTCTTGCAAAAGAGGAAGAGGATGATGACAAGAGCTACGAGAGACATGGAAAGGATGGCCAGGACTGTATCATAAGCGATGTTCTTGGCGTGAGTCATGACGGTTGGAGAGAGATCTTCCTAGTGATGTGTGAAGGTGGTTTGGGCTGATTTTCTGAGCGGTTGTTTGGTTGGGTGGAAAATATATGGTTTGGGACATAGGTTAGAGTGGCTACCCAAAAAAGTCTAGAGTGAGAATTGGCTTTTCATATAAGAGAGTGAAAGAAGGGGACAAGGTAAAGGGTATAAAAGAGTAAAGTGAGAGAAAAAAGAGAGGTATCTAGTTGAGTAAATGTGTGCTCTTTGAATTTTGGGGCGGATTGGTGAGAAAGTTGGAAATCTATGGCTAGGTTTAGTTGTGTTGGTTGATGGTGGGCAGCTGCCTGCTTTTGTTGGAATTTGGAAAATATTCTTTGTAAAAATGTTGTGAGGAAAGTTACAAGACAACCAGTTGTAGCACCACCCGTGGAGGCAAAAAGAATATAGATATATATATTTATTTATTTATTTTTTAAAATTATTACAATTGCAACTACAAACTTTCACACAAATAAATGTAACTTATCATCCGAACAAATGTAATTGGACGGAATGATACCGTCATGTAATACAATAATTTTTTATTTAAAAAATTATTACATTATTTAAGCATATTATAGATTCGAACAAATCACAACATGACTTAATTCTGTTTTATTTTTACGAATTTTATTACTTGGATCATAAATTGTGGGATCCACCATTACTGGTGGGCCACGACATTCATATTGTGCCTGATTCCTTCTTACCTTTAATTATATTTTTTATATATATTTGTTTTTTTGAAAAATGATTGTCAAAGAAACAAATATTCAAAAAAAAAAAATTTGAACCAAATGATTGTGATTTGTAGGATGTTTGACAGGGTTTAAACTATTTTGTCCACTTCGTCTAGCATTGCGTTATTTCTATTTATGATTAAATTCGTGGAACCACAGTTTTGTTTGTTTGCTTGGGGACTTGACGTTAGGTGCCAAAAGGATAAAAACCAAATTTCTGACTATATATATATATATATATAAAGTGGGTTATTTACAAGTTTGATTTCGTTTTTACACAACCAAGGAGTTTTCGATGAATTGGTGAGATAGAATGATTGACTAATAAACTTGTGCAAAAAGAGTTCAGCATTTATGAGATAGAATAATTAATTTACTAATCAATTTCTGTTATTACATCAGCATCACTAACAACAGTTTTAAAAAGAAACTTGTTTGAAAGTTTTAATTTTTGAGTACCATGATCCCACTGTAGTACAAGTTATTTAATACCATTTCATGTTAACTAATTATATAAGATATATATATGGTTTTTGTTTTCCCTTATTTGTCTGAAGTTAATCTAAGAAATTAAAAAAACAAGTTTTGTTGAACAAAACAACAATATGTACGATGCTGCTGTTCATGACACTTCATTGTTACTAAACTTCCTTGAAAGGAACATACCAACAACAGCCAAATTAAGTCATTTCAACCGTACAATTAAAGTGGTATGACAATTTGTGAAGCATCGCAACCCTAAGAAAACTTGAATGTCATTTCTCTTGTTGAGAAAGTACAAACTCAATTAGGAAGCTTGTTGCGTCAATTTTTTATCAGCTTTATCTGACATTTTGCTTGAGTGTTAACTACTGACAAATAACCCCCACATAATTAATTTCGTAAATAACTCATGTTACTATAGTAAAATCATGCAAACTGATGAAAATGAGTTATATTTTGACCAATATCACTTTATTACCCCCAGCGGGAAAGCAAATATACTTTTTTATCCATTCCGGAACTAAAACCCCTCCCCTCTTCTTTAAAGATAGGAAGGTTACATCGTTAGAGCAAAGGCCCTTTTCGGGATTGAATAGGAGAAATTAGTTAATTACAATTCAAAAACCTTATGGACAAAAGAATGGGTACACTGTATCCCAACCTACAAACTTTTCATGGATCATCAGCCCAGGGAAAGAAGCTTATCAATACTCATGAGTAAGCCCAAGTGTCGTTAATTGGGCTAGATTGAACCGGGCTAAAGTCCACAGTTGCTCAACTTGAATTAAAAGTACCTAGAGTGAAGTTCTTTTCAGCCCAATTTCAGGTTTAAGTCCCTTAGCCTGAGCTCAGCCCATTACTTCAACAAATTTTTTGTTTCCTTCCTATTGGGCTCCCAAACTAATCTTGGGAGATTTGTAACTTCCATTTGAGGGTGTTGCACCACACTACTGAAAATGAGGCATGGAGGACGTGCTATATCTGGTGGCATCTTCAGAAATGCCCATACTGGGATTCTTGCAAACAATGGGACATTTTCTCCTGCATTCACTCCTTGAAAATGTTATCATTCGCAAGCACTCGAAGTAGCACCGCGACACGCAATCCGTGTTTGATTTCTGCTCACCGGCCAGCACCAGCGCCACCAGTGTGCACATCAGGATGACCACATTGCCGTCTTACTAGCAGCCATGTTTGTTTGTAGAATGTATGGAGAGTTTGTGATGTAGGATTGATTTTAATGCATATGGAGAATGAGGAGAAAAGTCATAATTTATAGGAGTGGACAATAATAGAAAGTGGTACATTTTGGTAGTTCAATATCTAGTTAATTCGGTTTCAATGACAGTGAGGCATGCTATATATTTGGGTTTAATGTTGATAAACAGGCGTTTAAAAAGTAAAATGATTTAGTTTTGGGTTGACAAGAGACAAAGGTCATGGTAGTTCAGGACTAATCATGAATATAGCTAAAAAAAAAAATTGTTTATTATAGCATGTATAGAGATTTAATCCACATAATTGCTATCATATGCTTTATACCCATTTTGTTTCCTTACAAAATTCATATTATCCCTGCACAAATTGTTACTGTTATTTGACAATGTCCATTGGTTATAGTAGGGGTGTACAAAAACCAAGATACAAGATCGGATTGAACCGAATTAAACTGTATTTAGGGAACAAATTTGGGGTTAAAAAAGATTGAATTAAAAGTCCATAAAAGTGAGTGATAACATCACTGTTCCCATTGCTATTACACAATCATGCATGAAATTAACCGAACTTACCAGAATCTATTCATTTCTATTCGATTCCACTACTTCCAATAATTGGGTATGGAATTTCAACAATATATAGAATACATGGTTTCAATGCATAAATTTAATAAAAGATATACATGGGTGTCTTACCGTGTCTCAATAAGGACACACCATGTCTCAAAACAAGACACTTAAATCACAAATTTTTCATACACACATGCACCAATATGAAAAATCTAATAAATGAGGATAATAACTGTGATCACAAAATAATAGTGTCTTTACCTGGGCCAAATACAACCTCCCCTAAAATAAGTAAATCAATACGACAAAGAGAAACATGCATGCTTACTATACAACATAAGTGGCAAACCCTTAGTCATTGGAACAACAATCTTTGGTTGTGTATCAATATGCTCAATCAGACACTAGTTGGTTATGTATCCTCTATTTTACAACAAGGTTTTAACGGTCATATTTTAGACCAACTTGAACTCTTATTGTTTCTTTACTACAAGACTATAGCGGTATTGACCTGAAATCCAAAATTGATATTTTATAATGCATGAAACGTGGTCTTATAATATGCAAATAAATTTCGCTTTCATCAATTATAATTGATATGGAAAAATATAAACCTACCCTACCCTCGATAAGATTGATTAGATTTCATTATCAAGGATAATGAAATCAAATCTGACGTGGTTCAACAGGTAAGAATAATCCTACTATAACTGGAGGAGGTCAAAAGGATTAAATCATATCCCTGACAAATCTGGCAATAAATCTCTTAAGATTTCACACAAGCGGAAGATAAGATCAACCATCGACATCAGCGGAACGATTTTGATTCCAATCGACAGCCATAAATAGGGCACTAAGCCATTAAAGAAGGTACGACGTAAAAACTATTATTAATCCCTGCCTTCTTTTTAGACCTTCGTGACTAATTTGATCGTCGGAGAGCTCTTGGCAGGCACCACACCGGTGTCATCAAGGTTCATCGATCTTCTCCTCTTTTCCTTGCAGGAAAATGGTATCGTATCGGACTGCGCGAATTTTAGCCTCAACAGTTGGCGCCGTCTGTGAGAACGACGATTCCCTTGAATCAATTAATTACTCGTTGGGTATATACGTTTGTAGTCTGGTATGGTTACCAAAGGAACACCGTCGCAGGGATCTGGTCAAGGGGTAGAGTCGGGTGAAAACCTGGACATCCCAAACGACCAGGCACGGCTTGCAGCGTTGGAACTGCAGGTTCAAACTCTGAGTCAGGGTATGAACCAGTTGATCCAGCAAAATGCAACGCTCTTGCAACACCTTGTTCCACCGGTTCAACAAATCCAAGACAAGATCTCTCAAGTCCAAACAGAGGTAATGGGAATCTTGAAGAGAAGGATAATCATCCCCCCCAAAATGAGACTGAAGTGGAACAAAGCCAGGTGGGAACCCAACATAGAGAGGTGGTTCACCCATCTCTCCCACGGAGTTCCCAACCTCCTGAAAGCATAGCCTTCTGTCTTAAGGAAAAGACAAAGAAAGTTACCCATATCGACTTGTAGATCAAGGATCTCAAGGGGAAATGGAAGATGTAATGCAGGCTATGAAAGGAAAAGGTCCTGCCACCGTAAATGACCTGGTACAAAGGACCAACCTGTCTTTCAGCCCCGCCGTTATGAAATGTCAATTACCTAGCAAGTTCAAGATACCCTCGTTCGAAAGCTTAGATGGGACCAAAGATCCCCTCGATCACCTGGAAACTTTTCAAGCTCTTATGCATTTACATGCTGTACCAGATGAAATCATGTGCCGAGCTTTTCCCACTACACTTAAGGGATCAGCGAGAGTTTGGTTAACAAGTTAAAGCCATGAACCATCAACACCTTCGAAGAATTAAGTAAGCAGTTTGTGAGCCACTTCATTGCAGGTCAGAGGCATAGGAGGCCGGCTACCTACCTGTTTACCGTGGAGCAACAAAAGGAAGAGTCGATTCGGGAATACATCACCCGATTCAACGCAAAGATGTTGCAGGTAGAATAGGCGGACGACAAAGTAGCTTTGACCGCTTTCATAGGAGGACTCCAAACCTCTAGATTCTTGTTCTCCTTATCAAAAGAACCTCCCACCAGCATGATAGAGTTGTTGGTCAGAGCGCAAAAACACATCAACGCTGAAAACACCATGAGTGCACGGAAGGAAGGAGAGGACAAGAAGATGCCAGCCCCTCTCGCCAGGGATGAAAATAATACCAAATATAAGAAATCGTTTTCAGCCAGAGCAACAGCACATATCATGAGAATGACTCAGATGAGTATACCGACTAGAAATTGTCTCACGGTTGG